CCCCCTTTCCCTCCCCTTTCCCCGCAGGTTTGGTTCCAGAACCGCAGGATGAAGGACAAGCGGCAGCGCCTGGCCATGACCTGGCCTCACCCGGCCGACCCGGCCTTTTATACCTACATGATGAGCCACGCGGCGGCCACCGGCAATTTGCCGTACCCCTTCCCGTCCCACCTGCCCCTGCCCTACTACTCCCACATGGGCATCGGAGCCACGTCGGCCTCTGCCGCCACCCCCTTCAGTACCCCCCTGAGGCCGCTGGACACCTTCAGGGTCCTCTCCCATCCCTACCCGAGACCAGAACTGCTGTGCGCCTTCAGGCACCCCTCTCTCTACCCTGCCCCGACGCATGGACTCGGCAGCGCCGGGGGCAACCCCTGCTCCTGCCTGGCTTGCCACAGCGGGCAGTCCAACGGGCTGGCGCAGAGACCCTCCGGCTCAGACTTTACCTGTTCGGCCACAACCAGGACTGACTCTTTCCTCACTTTCACGCCCTCCGTGCTGAGCAAAGCCACCTCAGTTGCCATGGACCAGCGAGAAGAAGTACCTTTAACGAGATAAACCTTCGCCTCAGGGTTATTAAAAACTCGCCCTTTTCCCCGGGGCTTCTCTTCGAGTCGATGTACCTACAGCCCATGTTTATTTAATCGTGTTCTCTCCCCAGAAGTGGGCACCTACGGAAAGAAAAAAAAAAAAAAAGACTAAAAATAGCTCAGTCTTAAAAGGATTTACATTCCAAAGGGAAAGAAGAGAAGAAGGAGCAATGACTGGTGGTTTATCTCTGAGAAGGATTTTAGACACGGAGGAGGAAGAAAACCAACCCGAACGAAATACACTTCGGTACCTACAGAAATAAGCTGGGACTTTATTTGCCATGGATAGACTTCTCACCAAGGGCTGGGGCTTCTGCGGGTCGCAGCAACAAACCTTATGCACAAACCTAAGAGACGGAGAAGGAAAATCTGACATACTTGAAAGAAACATTATCTTAGTAGGGAAATGGCTTGTGCGCATGAAGAAAGCAAAGATGTAATCTATCAGAGTGTTCAGAAAATAAAAACAACGAGCAAACAGGAAACCCGGCAGGTTTCTGGATTGCAACTCAACAGTATTATCCAGTTGTCTCTGTAGAGAAAAACAATGCTTTACCATAAAGAAAAAACTGTCATTCTGTACATTACTTTCGTGGTTTAATTGCGTTCTTTACTCTCCCTTGCCTCCTCCTTCGTTTGAGCAGAAATCCAGCATTTCATCTCCTCTTTCATTCCCACTTTTATTTTTAAGAGGCAGACTGGAATTGGAAGGGAAAAAATACCAGCTCCTGCCTCTTTATGGGTCAGAGCTATTTGTCCTTTAAATAACAATGTCCTATTATCAGTCGCTGAAACGTGCACACACTGACGAAATTAGCAAGTGATGTATATGTAAGGAGGGTTTTTGAATATCGAATGTATAATGCTCTGTGAGCAGAGACCCCGTGCCAAACACTAACAAGCCGCCAAGGGAAGAGATTAGGTGACAGGGAGCACAACTCCTTCAGACAATCACCAGTCTGTAAATTGGAGCAAAGGCGATTTCCCTTCCTTTGTACTTCAGCCTTCAGTTCTCTCTTTGACTTTTCCTTGCTGCGTCTTCTTTCTTTTTCTTTTTTTTTTTTCTTCTTCTTTTTTTTAATTATTTAATTCATGCTTTGGGTGTTATGTTTCCTTCTTTACCCCTAATCTTTGCATTTGTATGTGTCCTTCACACTGGTCCATGGTCCTTCTCGAGGAGTCCTCCTTTCACAGCACACACACACCCCGCCTCCTCTTTCAGGTATTTCGGAAGGGGGTAGCATCATTGCTTTTGCTTGGATTTCTGTCAACTTAAAATTTAAAACACACGAACACCGGGCTGGGTAGTAGTTTCTTCCAAAACTGGAATCGTTTATTTAATTCTGTTTCAAAATAGCCCAAAGAATAGACTGTTATAATTTGTTACCATGTCGGAATAAAACGTAGTAACAACAATAACAAGGATAATAACCACACACACGTTTTAACAGCATATCACCCGTATTTTTATTGTGTTTGGTTTGGTGTTTTTTTTTTTTTTTAAGTAAAAGTGTTGCTTAAGACGAATTCCACCTTCGTGCAGTTTCTAATGGCTACAGTTCATCAAGCAGGAAAATAAACGCTGGACAGAACAAAGACGTGTTGACACCTCCGCTATCTACTTTGTGTTAAATTGCTGAGGAGCCTCTGGTTTATTGTCACACCGGAGACTCCTTGTCCTTAGGACAGGGGGTGAATAGCAGCGTCTCCCTACAGCGGATGGAGAGCGGGGAAGAGACACGTGCGTGCCAGGAGATATTTTTCCAATCAGAAAAAAAAAAATAAATTGTTTATTAGAGCTTTTTAAAAACTGATCCAAAGTCACCATCTTTAAATCATTAAGGGCAGATTGTTCCGCCCTTTCTGAATGAGATGTCCTCGAGGACATGGAAACCGATGGCCCTTTTTGGACACTCACAAATAGATTCCCCCCACTCCACTCTCCTTCCCCACCC